GTCACTCATGACACTGTGACGAGGTGTCAATAAAAGTTAGCATTTTGACCATGCAAAGGACAGAGATACCTCGAAGCAAACTTTTCCTCTACAGCTGTCCTAACCTCTGGTTCTGACCCAGCCTCGTGGAAAAAGTGACGAAAACATTATGTAATTTTGTGCCCTGATTTCACAGTTAGACTAAAGGACAGAAAAGTTGCAAGTTAAAACTCTTAATGAGTTCTCTCTGTTTAGATGAACAGTTTCACCCCTACCGGTTTAACAATAAGGATATGACTGACATTCCATATTTATCGTTGGTTTATGATTTGACCCATCAGCTGTTTTTTTCATCCTGTTTCCCTGCTGTTTCCTTCTTTCCGTTCCTGTTCCTTCCTCCATACTCCATCTCTCTCACACCCTCGTGAGCATCACAGTGACTGAACTCATTCTCAACTATTTATTTTCTTTATTTCCTGAGATCAGCTATAAAGAACAAACACTATTAAGCCAGCCAATCAATAAGGGAACATCAGCGCTCCTGTCCCCCTCCCCGCCCCACCCCACCCCTTGGAAAACAGATTTATATCCTCTGCCTGGGCAACATAAATCACATATTCATACATTAAATTAGAAATATGATTGATAGCAAAGCAGCGAGTGTGTATAAAACCTCATGATGTTAAAAAAAAATTAGTTGGGGACTGCAGAGGGTGAGGAGAAAACAAACATTGCATTTTGAGTACAATTCTTCACCGCTCTGAAGACATCTATGTGCTGGAGATGAGTTGTTGCTTAAGGGAAAGGAATATTGACAGAGTAGGGCCAGAGCTAAAGGAGCAAAGCCTATGAATAAGTATCAGCATCTAACCGCCATTTTATAGGACAATTAACAATGGGAATACTAGCTATGGTAACAGCGACGTTTGTGATCGGAGACCAGCTCCTCAAAAGTCAGAGCTCTTGACTTTAAAGGCACTGGTCAACTTTCAGCCTCCATCCTGTGCATCTCATTCTGTCAGGTGAACCGAGTGTGAAGAAACAGGTTCATTCACAAAGTGACACTTAATGGGATATATACAGATTGTGTCTTGCATTACAGGGCCCAGTGGTTATGGGAGCATTCCAGAGGAGAGAGGCAGAGAAGTATGGCAGCATCCATCAGAAGCCTGGTCGAAGAGGAAAAGGTGCAGGAACAGAGAGGGAACGAGGGCTGAGGGTTGGGGGGCTGCCAAGGACATTTAAGAGAGCTGTCAGGGGAGGCTGATCTATGAAGGACCCCGGCGAAACCTATATCCCAGCATGTGAGTATGTGTTGGTGTGTGAGAGTGCGAGAGAGGGCTGGGGAGAGACGTAAGTGTAGTTGCACCAATGCATGCTGTAACACATGCACCCTGGAGGCTAACGCACAGTGGAGTCTCTGTGCACAGGTTCAAAGATCAGAGCTGAAGCCCATCCACACAGAAAATCAAATGAGTCTAAAAAAGCAGTAGGGACGCAAACAGCAAGGGATAAGCTGCCCAACTGCAAATAACACGTTTTGTTTTTTGTTTTTTGTTTTTTTTTTTTGGGGGGGGGGTATTAACTTTAAAGTTGCAGTTTAGCTTGAAGTCGTGTTTTTCAGTAATATATCACACTCTGTGAGGACAGAAAGGAAGCATACATGATACAAATGAACCAGCTCTTGATTGTGCAAGCATTTTTAAACAATTTCACAAAAAGTCCATCAAACATATACTCTGTGTGTGTGTGTCCATGTGTGTGTGTGTGTAACTTCCCTGCCCATAAATGTCCTCACACAGTGACATTGTGGGGACTTGCATCCCTTTTGTCCCTATAACATAAACCATTAAATTTTAGTGCAAAGTCTTGGCCAGATAGGGGTTAAGTTCACATTAGGGTAATGGATGTATTTATAGGTGTTTATATTTCAGCATCCATTTTCATATTTTCACATGAGATTTAAACATGGAGGGTTTGAAATGAAATTATCTTCCTAATATAATAAAGACTAAAGACTAAGGCCAGCCAGTATGTAAGAACTCTGTAGCTGTAGCTGGAGCTCTGTTGTGTAAATAGACAAAATTATCTAGTGAAATCACTTTTAAACTGAAAGTTTGCATTTAAGAAGTGAGGATACGGGATTTGGAACCTAAAGACATGAACAGAGTCAAGAGAAATAAAAAGAATATGGTGCAAAGTTTCATTCTGCCTGTTAAGGATTCATTGCTTTGGCGCCAACAGGGGACTAAATGTCATGATATCGCAGCAGCTGTTTATCAATCAATCAAAGTTTCTCTCTTGCAAATCACAAAACTTTATATATAAGTTATCATACATTGTTCATTTAAAAAGATAATTATCATTCAACTACACCCTGCTCACTATGACACAAAAGTTGATAACTAGTGCATTTTGTGTTATGTTTGCACAGTTTGAGGTTACAGAAGCGCATATTGTTAAAGTAACTTTTCTGTGGTAATAATAATGAATTGACATGAACACACAGAGGAGCTTGCAACTCACTAGGAGTTATTTTAGGAAACAAACGCTATCAGACACACCTGAAGGAGCCTAAAGGTTGCAGGAACGCCATGAGAATCTATAGATAGCAAGCGGGCCTGTTAGCCAGAGAGGAGTAAATGCCAGGCAACCCTGCCAGGAGGGGCACAGCACTGGGACCATTACTAAAGCTTAATGATATGAGAAGTGTTCTATCCACCGCAGAGGGGATTCATCATGATGCTGTAGCACTATACATCTTTCAGCAGCCCTTAAAAGGGAAAGGGGACATTTCTCCATGCTGTAGTAAAAAGCCCCGTCCCTTCCCCATTTCTTCCCACGAGCTTTCCACAATCCTCATCGTCGCTTAAAGAAGGTCTATTTAAGGATCATTGTGTCTAAGGAAGAAGGGGAGGGCACGACCTTGACGACAAGTAAGAGTGAGGCAAAGAGGAGCGCTGAATGGGCGTGTGTAGCTGATGGAAACAGGCGGCGACCACAACATTGTTTCTCGTGTTTGTCCCAGCGTACCCCAGGGGTAGGAATACAATTCACTTTCCGCCTCAAAGTCACACTATACACTGTCACTGGCTTCAGCTGAGTGCTGATAGATGTCTCTTCGTCCCTCGTAAATAAGTAAAAAAAAAAGAAAAAAAAACCCCTGCCAAAAAACTCTGATCTCCAGTGTAAGAGACTGTAGATCAGGGTGTAAATAGCTGAAGGTATCATGCGCAGTAGTACATCAAGCCCAGAGCATTTTCTCTTTCTCGAACCCCTCACATTTTGTGGCCGTGTCAGAGAACTGTGCAACGTGTAAATCAGCCAGGACAGATCAACTCCAATTAAAGAGCAATGAGACACAGTATGTAAAAGGACTTCTCTTTGGGTCTTTAACTAATTTTATAGCCTGGAGCCAATATGCAGTAATCAGAACATGAAAAAGCTTTCTGTCCTCATGTTTGCATTGTTTGAGTCACAGCCACCTGCCTACAGATTTACACCAGTAGATCACTGACAATAACAGTAAAGACAGAAGTGCACTGGTTTATGACTTCAGCACTTTCAGTTTGAAGTCTTCCAGCACCAGTGAGTTTAAATTATGGTGGGAGACGTCCTTGGGATGTGAACATCTCATTTCACCATGCCGTACGCAACCACACGCACACACGCACGCACACACACACACACACACACACACACACACACACACACACACACAACTCATTTCATTGGGGGGGTCTCTGGGAGGCTGGACTCAGCAGAGCGTGACATAAGAATTATACATCTGGCAGCAGTAAACCTGCAAACTCTCTCTCTCTTTCACGGGTATGAGGCAGAACACTAACTTTTTGATGATCACTCTGAGAGGGAACTATTTGTTATTATTGCTGTTTGATATTGATGTTTCTAACGAGCTCTGTGCGGATATGATGCTGTTGTTCCTCCTCCTAGCAGGATCAGACTCAGAATCAGAATCAGAAAGGGTTTTATTACCAAATGTTGAGCAGGTTTACAACATTAGGAAATTGCTGCGGTACTTAGTGCAAACATACTGTCATATAACGCTTAAATAGACATGAAAATAAAAATAAGAATAAGAATTAAAAGTGCTAAGTAGATAGATATATACATGAGTGCAGGTGGTGATCAGTGCACCATTTCCCTGTCAATCAGCATGATTGTGCAAAAATTAATGCACCAAATTTCTTGAAACTTCTCGAAGCATGGTCGAGCGTGGGTACAGAAAGCACCAGCTTAATTTTAGTGCTTTCTCCAATTATTTTTTTAAACCGCAAGACAGGGCATTAGCAGAGCCTCACTGGAGAACTCCCTGAGAGCTTCTAGTTTTATGACTTTGCACATACAGCTGAAGCAGCTTTCTGGGCATCTTAAGATAACGAAAAAGAAGCATTTTAAGCATTTTAAGTGTGCTTTCTTTTGCTTCAATGGCATTACTACAACAAGCAAAAAACATATTGAAATGAAAAAAAAAAACATATTTCTTTTATAAATATAAATTATATAGAGTCACAAGAAAAAATCGAAGCCTGCACCTTTTGAAGATATAAATATAATAAACCTTTATGAACACATAACATATATGGTGGGGATATATTTCAGTATACATGAATGGAGCCTGGAGGCACCGTCTAAACGAACTTATGCTCCAATTTGTTAAATGGCTCATTCAAATCAGTCTGCCTGCGTGTAAAAAAAAAAAACACGGGAAAAAAATGGTGGCTGACATCCAAAAATATCTAATAACTTTCATCTATAATCACACGTGGATGGGACAGAAGTCACAGCATCCCAACTGAACCGAGTAAGCTCCGCATCCTCATCCCAGCTGCGCCCCACTGCCAGATTATAATAAACACCTGCCGACACGCCCACCCGCCGTTACCCAGCTTCCCTATTGGTTGTCGTTTTAGATATTCAACAAGCTGCGCGGAGATTGGCTCAAATCTCATACAAGCGATTTCATAAAGCAAATCTTTTGGAAGTTGTGTAAAGGGAATAAGTGGGGAAAAACCCTTGAGATAAAGGCTGTTTAGCTCTCTCTCTCTCTTTCGCTCTCTCTCACCGTCCCTGGTGTCAGTTCGCTGGAGGATTTTGTCGGAGTTTCCCGAGCGTCTCTGCATCTGTGAGTACCTGAGTCTGCCCGCTGCTGAAGCTGCCGTCTTCCGCTGGGTTCAGGATCGTTGTGGCGCTCAGCTGGGATCTGCTGCGCAAAGACGCGAAAGAAAGTTGACGATTTGAACGTAACTTTCAGAGCAAAACCTCAACCCAGACAGAAACGCTTATCAGTAATGCTGTTAAACGGTCATCCCCTTTGGTTACAGTAGCTGTCACGGATTAAATGATGCTCATAGTTTTAAAAACGCCGATGTGCAGGTAGTTAAATGAAAGCAGGTTTGTTTTGTAAATGTAGTTATCATTACCAAGGTGGAGTGCGGTTATTTTTCTTTTACTTTTCTCATTTTTAAAAGAAGTATTTTTATTTGATAGATAGATAGATAGATAGATAGATAGATAGATAGATAGATAGAACAAAAACCAATAAAAACTATTAAACGTTGTTTAAATGAATATGTGGTGGTTTAAACTACTCATATGATGTGTTTTGTGAGTCAAATGAACAATAAATGAACAATAATCCTTGCCGTATTTATTGTTGCCTTATATTAAGTTGTAAATGATAGACGAACAAGAGCTTGTCATTAATGTCAGGTGTTGATTGAAGTGTAATTCACTGTGACCGGTAGAGTACTTTGTGTGTGTGTGTGTGTGTGTGTGTGTGTTCTGCAGTGAGGGTGTCCTTCACAGAAAAGAGCTTCTGCAAAAGTGTGTTTGAAAGTGAAGATGTTGCTGGCTCTTTGTCGCAGTGTTATCAGGATCAGAGCTGGGCAGGAAAGCACATGCTGATGTTGCACGCTGTGGTAATGACCTCTTAATGCCAACATAAATAACCACATCGAAAGCATTTCTCTGCTCTGAAACGACTATTCGTTTCCTGGGCCGTTTCATTGTCTTTGAATGGTTTACGGGAGATTACTTTGCTTGATGTTCCCTTGTTTGGGCGGTGACCTCGGCAGATGTTATATCATCGAACCCAGATGAGGGCAAAAATGGTTTGTGGATATGTGCTTGCAGAAAAGTCCAACTTTGCTTGACAACTGAAGAAGGATGTCTTGGTTTTTACTGCAGTGAATCTGGGGCGAAGAGACTTCATGTCCTTGGCTGGATAATATAGTACCTCATGATTTTATCAAACTGAAAAGTCTCCAGTGATTTCATGCACTCATCTGTCCTATCGCCAATCCTCTTTCATGTCGTTATTACTTTGTGTGGGTGACTTATAAGGGATACCAAAGTTTGTTTTTTTTTCCTTTTGTCTTTTTCAGGCTGGTGTTCAACTGAAATATGTGAAATATGAATATAACCTTGTATGCATGGCTATTAAAGTTAACCTGTCCACCTTTCTAGTAGAAGCTGCATCATTTACACATTGTTATCTTGTCCTCTAATTGGCTGATTTGCAGTTCATTTAAAAAGATCTGAAGAGACTGTGTGCTGTTCCATAACACTTTGTTTTTTGACTTTCCAAGTTTCCGTTTCCTTTTCTTTTTAATTTATAGCCCACTCCCCCTATCTAATATGGAGTTTATTAGCAAGTCTGTAAAGTCCCTTTCTCTAGTGTGGAACTGGCCAGCTCATTTGTCATCACATCCTGCTCTAATGGGGAGAAACTGCCTCATCTTAAGCTCACAGTGTTGTTAATTAACCCTTCTTGCTAACAGGCACAGTCTACATTACTACCGGCTCTTCTGCCGGCGTTATCGCTGCGCTGCCTGCCCAGGGAGCTAGCGTTGGCCCCGGCCATATTTCTGCAGGTGTCAGCAGAGGTGCTTCCTCTCCTGCTTTTTGTGCTTTTGAGAGTATTACTCAAGCAGCACTGTGGTTTTATCTTAAATTGAATTGTTGAGGGAGATGTTAAAGAGCCATACATCACCTGGACACTCAGCAGAAAGGGAGAATCTGCAGCAGTATAGATGGGAGCGTCTCAGCGACATTACAGATGGAATGACGGAGGACATGTTCATAAATCCACAGGCAGAGAAAATCAAGTTGTCAGCCTTTAGAATGCCACTTAAATGTGTGCACGTGCGTGTCTGTGTGTGTGTGATGTTTTGCAGGGCTGTTGCTGATGAGCTTCTTATTTCAGCGTTAAGAAGGTGACCCTTCTCTTCGCCAATTCCTCTTTGTTTCTTTTCAGCCTGAGCGTCAGAAACTCCACCTCACCTTTACCTGCCTGCAATTCACAACTCGAATTGGATCAATGTTCACCCTTTATCTGCTTACCACTTAAAGGACATTAATACATCACTGAGTCCTTTTATCCAAACAGAAAAAAAAATCTTTTCCATTTTAGTGTTGGTCCTTGTCTCTAAGGAAACAACACCTCAGGTCTGTTATAACAGGCCGTATTGGTTTCCTCCGTACTCACTTGGCCTCTGGCTAATGCCCTCGCTCCATGTATGGATTTTCTGTCTTGTAATTCCTCAGCCTGTCTGCATGTGATGGGTTGTTCAGATCTAACCCTGCAGAATGTCGCTGATTGCAGTGGTATATCTTCATCTTTATGTCTGAGTATAGCAGGAAGCTTTGCCAGCAATGTTTGCCTTATGATGGATTTGAAGAACTAGCAAAAAAAAAGTGGGGGGATGTGTTGCAGTTGCAGATGAATGACTCATATTTTTTATGGGATTCTCATTACACATCAACTAGCAGGTCACATGTGCAGTAGTTCAGGTGAATAGCGTTGTGGATTGGATGAATGGTAATTCTGCTGTTCAGACTGTGTATATGTCTGTACAACGTCCGTTGGCGTTATTCAGCACTTGAATTCTTTGAAACAAAAACGGTCGAGTCATGTTGCAAATAGTGTGTTTCGCCCTTCAGGTAAGGATGTGGTTGTGGCTGGTTTTGTTCCTGCCCGCCCTCTCGGTGGCTCAGAGGTCAGAGCCCGTGTTCTCAGCTATAACCAAGACCGTCCTTCCTCCAGACTACGACAACAACCCCACCCAGCTCAACTATGGCGTGGCTGTCACTGATGTGGACGGGGATGGAGACCTGGAGATATTTGTAGCTGGGTGAGGAGTGTGCAGAGAAAGCTGGACTTACCATCACCATGAAAACCCCCTAAATCCCTTAAGTTTCCCTCCCACTAGTGTAACTCTTAAGCTTAAATAAAAACACAACTTCCAAAAGATAAAGGTTAAAGACAAAGGCAAAAAAAAGCTAAAAGATAAGAGATGCTAAGGCCACCCTGGGGCTCACTCAACTGATGAAAAATGGATATGATCGAAAAGAGTGCCAGTGATGGGAACAGCTTTACAAGACTGCCTCAATCCAGCAATGACTGAGCATGAATACATTTCCCAGTGCTTAACAGGAAATAGATGAACCAAAATGACCCTGCTTATTAGATGTAATTTAGGTAAAACATCCTATTCAGCAGGTATCCTGGACAGGAGCTCATCCCAAAACCTCATAGAGGGTGTAATTTAATTTACAATTAAAAGAATCTTCAGATGAATTGCTTTTATATACATTACACTGACAGTGCCGACCTTCTCTAATATACTTTGGTGACAACCAAGAAAGCTTTTGTAGTGTATATCCAAACATTTTAGACTATATTTTTTTTACTTCTAAGTATTGAGGCAAATTTAGATTTTGATTTCAAACTGGATGTTAGCAAAATGCAGTGTCAGGAGTAAGTTTACAACATTTCTTGCATACTGGCATAAAAAACATCAGAGGCTTGGATTCTAAATCAAAACCATGAGTAGAGATTACACTGTTGAAAAACAAATGACATCAGTGTGCAATCAAAATTATCCATTGTTCTGTTTTACACTTCTCACTGATTTGCTCCTCACTGCAATGGCACCTGAGGCTTATGGGTAAACAAAATTCATGAGCTCCAATGTGACAAGCATAAGATCTCAGTGAAATGTCTCCATAATATAAACCTAAAGGGCTTCTGTGTCCGGTAAACTAAGGATTACATGACTGACTCATCCTGGACTTACATGCCATAAAATCCAAATTATGAAAATACATGAATGACTTTATTACGCAATAAACAGAATTCATGTTTGCATGTAACGGATATTTTTAAGAGGCAAAATATAGACATTAAGGTCAAAATGATTTGTTATAAGTAAAAATAAATAAATAAAATGTGAATCTAAAAATTTTGCTTGCCAATCAATCTCTCTGATCAAATCTGCAACTACAGAATAGAAGTGAGATGCAGGAGTCCAGCTGTCATCAAAGTCTTTATAAAGTTAAACTTCAAACTAAACTTTCAGCATGTTCAGCCAGCACTTGCTAAAGCTCATAAACTGTAAAACAAGAATGTCATACTGTCAGTCATGTGCATTATAACAGCGTGCTATGTTTTCCCGTGACAGCTACAATGGCCCGAACCTGGTGCTAAAGTACGACAAACAGAGGAAAAGGCTTGTCAACATCGCTGTTGACAACCGTAGCTCCCCGTTCTATGCCCTGAGAGACCGTCAAGGCAACGCCATCGGAGTGACAGCTTGTGACATCGATGGAGATGGACGGGAAGAGATTTATGTCCTCAACACCAATAACGCCTTCTCTGGTACAGTGCGAGCTGATACACTTTTGGAAAACTACAAAGGCACACACAGGGGTTTCTTTCTTTTTTTTCCCTTTTACACAGAGACAAAGAAGGAGAATCGGTATGCAGATATTAAGCTTATCTCAGCTGAGTCTTCAGCAGATAACAGATAAGCTTTGTGCCGCTATTAATCTGTGAGAAACCCAGAGATCAGACTGCCAAAACTGCAACACCTCACGTCTGTCATTTTTCTTAAACTCCTTTATCACTTTGCTCACTTCCAGCCACAGGAGCCTGTTTTCACTCACCCACAGTTTTTGCATTACATAATGCTTCTTTTCTCCACGCAGTCTTTGTCTTTCCTGAACCTTTTCTCTCTCTGCATCAAGGTCGGGCAACATACTCTGACAAGCTGTTTAAGTTCCGTAATGGGCGCTTTGAAGATCTGCTGAGCGATGATATTAACGAACACAGAGACGTAGCCAACCCTATGGCTGGGCGCTCAGTGGCCTGTGTGGACAGAAAGGTACTTCTCATACAAACACACACACACACACACACATCAAGTGCACTATATGCAGATCTGCACCGTACGCACACTCCCTAGAGTGTCTTCTCCGTACATGCACGGGTGCTTCTGTTTGTTTACCAGTGATAACTCATGCCCTGCCTACGCCGCCCTTCTCAGCATGTGCTATGACAGTTCATTTGGGGGGAATGGTGTGCCATTTTCTCTCTTCTGTCCATCGCACCAGTGTAATTACAGAAGCCAGGGCTCGTTTGTTTTATAGAACATCGTACGAGGGGAGGAGTGATGACTGCACACTACTGCTTTCTGCCCGTAGCATTTTTTTCCCCTTCTTTCACTCAGTCCCTTCTCCATTGTTTCCACTTTTATTTTTTAGTCTCTTTTCTCTCACTGACTGACACGCTCACCCTCTTTCTTTGTCTCTTATCTCACACCCACGCATGCAATTCTCACTTCCAATCAGGGACGGGCTAAAGAAGGTAATAGCGGGAAGAGGAAAGTAAAGACTACAATAGATTTTTTTAACCACTGTCCCATCACACTGAGCACTGATAAGTTGTGCTGCTGCTAAACCGATTGGAAAGATATCTGCTTTTAAATGGCACGATTCTTTTGGAAGGAGCCAAAACCCCGATGTGTGCTTTTGCATGTCAGTTCCAGCTGACCAGCAGAGAGAGAACATGTTTTCCTGTTGCTGAACAGGTTTTATTAGAACATATTAAAAGAAACAGCTGCAGAACGTTGCACAGGCCAAAAGCAAAGCATTGCTTTATAGTCAGCTGGGTAGCTAATGCTTTCGATGTTGTTTACTCATAAATAAAGTGTTATCTGTAAGAGAAAAAGATCGATTTACCACCCGACCGTTTCGTCTCTACCCGGTCTCCTTGAAAGTGACTTCCCATCATCATTCTAACACAAACTGATGAAGGTGACATATTGAAGGGCCTCACATTGAACTGATAGATTGGTTCACTAAAACTTTAAACTGGCAGGCATGAAAAAATAAACGACTTTTAAAAGCCAGAATAATTAAAAAATTGTTTAAATGAAGCTCAGTGAAAAAGTACAAGATGCAGTTCTTGACAATAAAAGAATAAAAATGCTGCAGTAGCGGCAAGTTGGCTTATTCACACTTCTTGATTGATGTAAAGGGTGTGCAGTCCTTGGACCAACATGCACTGCAGGCATGTATAGCGTGCTATTCACAATGCCAATCCCAGTGACAGAAATTAGCCTTGGGTGAAGACTTATTGAAAAACCGTTGACTTTTAAGTTGGTTAAGTAACTGCCAGTTGCCTTTAGCTCTTTCATTGTAATTCATTTTCATGTTTGGCAGCTTCGGAGCGTGCTTGCGTGTCCGGCATGCGGTGTGTGCGTGACGCACTGCTCCCACAGCATGTGACACTAAATGACATTTATATCAACCAGACTCATTTACCTTCCTTGCATTGTAAAGATACAGTATGGTGTAACAGAAATAGTGAAATTGCGTGTGTGCATTTGTTTGCATATGTGCATGTGTTTGTGTTGATTGAAATATGTTAGGCCTGGTGGGAAAGCTCATTGGAATCGAGTGTGTAGTCTATTAGTGTGGTTCCGTCTGTGATTTTGTGTCTGCAGGGACTCTGACTGATAATGGAGTGTGAAATTAATCTCCAAAGGGAGGCAGAGCAAGGAGTAGGGAGAAAGGGCTAAGAATAAGGGGTAAGGGGTAAGAAATGGGGGTAGGTGGAGCTAAAGAGAAAGAGAGGTTTGACTGGGAAAGTAAACAATATTAATAAGCATACTACAGAATATTAATAATAAAAAAAGATGATCTAGACAGTGTTACTAATAACCTGTTTAATCCTATTTTTGTTTGATGAATACACCAACGTGAGGGTCTGAAAGAGGTTGCATATTTCAAAACATTTGCTTTTTCCGTTGGCTTTAAGGAACTTTATAGTATTTCAGACATTTTTAAGCTGACTACAATTTTTCTGTCCTGTCCTGCAGTCAAAAGGGTAGAACATAGATTTATATATTGAGCTTAGAGCCTCCACTCCTGCTCAAAAGAGTAAAAGAAAATTGTGTTGATGATGCAATTAAAGAACTAATGAAATAAGAGAAAATGCAGCCAATCCTTAATATGGTCAAAGGAAAAGTAAATGTTTTTATATATGACATGAGCACCGTAGAGTCTGTTTTACTGACTACAGACATCTTAAAAAGCTCTTCAGTAAACACAGAAATGCAGAAATATAAAACATGTTTCTTTTTTAAATTTACAGTTGCTTTCATTTCGTAGCTATGAGTGCATTTGATCGGGTTGCAGCATATTCTTGATTTATATTAATGAAAATATGAATACACGTAAATCTTTATTTTTCTGCACAGGGTACAGGTCGTTATGCTATCTACATAGCAAACTACGCCAGTGGCAACGTGGGCCCTCATGCGCTCATAGAAATGGATGAGGCAGCGAGTGACCTTTCGCAGGGTGTCGTTGCCCTCTCCAATGTGGCAGAGCGGGCTGGAGTCAACAAATTCATTGGTGGGTATGAAGCACTGACTGGGGGTATTTGATATAGACGATTGCTTTAAGATCACCCAGCACTACTGGACCTTCAGTTTGATTTATACAGACATTTGCAGAAGGGGCATGTGCTTGTTGTACTCACAGAGGTTGAAATATAGGACTTCGCGACACACAGGGAACCAGACGAGGGGCGAGTCAGAGGGGGTTAGAGAAGTGCCAGGCGAGAAAGAGAAAAAGGGCTTGAGAGGAAGAAGAAGAAAGAGGATGTAAAAGCTCTTTTGGCGCTGTCAGCTATTTACTCCAGCCAAAGTCACAGGGAATCAAAGGCAAAGGGCGGCAAACACATATATCAAACCTATTCTAACCATAAAATTCAACTGTTAATCTTGGCATCTAAATCAAATTAAATAGTTTCCGTTTTAGTAAGACAGTAATTGAGAAAATTCATGGATGGCATTAACTATATTTTAGCATTAATTGTTTGGATTAAAGGGTTTTCACATACTGGCAGAATAATCATTACAGGAACATAAAACATTGTATTTGGTAACTAGCAGCACTATTGATTTAGGACAGTTGTGGCGTAAACCTTACCACCACCTTAGATGGTGGTCTGATAAATTTGAAATAAGCCCAAAAACATTTCATTCAAGAAAAAAAGAATACATTTTTTAAGGTTGTACAATGTACAAAATTCGAAATCCAGCTTTAATGTTTTTTTTTTTAATTTCTTTTTAAAGGTGACGCTGGCTTAAAAAAATCACGTGTTCGAGTGTTTCTTCTTTTTTGGTCCTTTTTCAGTTAAGGGTGTAACTGATTTGCAAATCAACCCCCTGTTTTCATTAAAAGTGTTGCTTAGAACTGTTTTTGGAAACAAAATGAATATTTCACTTAAAGGATGTTGAAATGTGTCACTGCAGCCCGCGTCATCACGTGCATCAATTTAGGTCTGTGATATATAGAAGAACAGAACAGTAAATGCAAAAATGTTACCATGATTAATTTCTTCATAAAAGAGACTGTCATGATGAAAAAAAATGCTGCCCCTGTGATAATTTATTATAATCACTGAAAAGTCCTTGTTCTGGTGAGTTTTGGAAATACGAGGTGACTTTGTATGTGAGCGCTCCGGCATGAATCTTCATCATCTATGGATTTTTTTTTTCACGTGCAGGATATCATCTGATCCACCAGGGGGGAAGATGAGCTGGCTCACATTTGCTGTGAATGATGTACGATAGATGGCTTTGTCATCAAACTGCCGTTAATCAGAGGAGAGGGACAGTCGGTGAAGTTGTATATCTAATGGTTACATATCTCCAGAGAGACATTAGTGGTTTATGGCCGTAGGGGTTGAGTGGTATTTGTCTGGGTTGATGGAGCGGGCCAGTAAATCAGCAGCGAGTCATGACTTGCAGCAGTGACTTTGCATACTGGAAGGACAATCAAAGCCCTTTCAACTCCATAATTAAACTCTGCTGGTCTGAGATGAAGCACTACATTTTACAGAATGTCACTGGAGAGTCCTGGGGTGATGCTAAAAGTGTACCTTCAAGTGTAACAGTTACAAAAATCACTACATAAGGAGAACATTACTGTTTGCTTTTGGTTAATGCAAAAGATTCTTTGTGTTTTTGTATTTTTTATTGTGCTTAGGTGTGTTTACCTGTGTTTGTGTGTATGTAACCCATCAGAGTCAGTGTCTGTGTCAGCAGAAAGAGCTGCCCTACTCAGAGGAAATGACCTGGAAAGACAGTAATAATCTCTTCCCTTTCACTTTTGTTAAGGCGGCGATCTCTCTCCCTCTGCTCTCTCTGTTGTTCCTCATATCCTGCTTCATTTTTTTCCCCCCAAATGTTGCGCTAGCCCTCTTCTGAGCTGCCTAATTCTCCCACCGCTGTGTGTCTTGTTCCCTTGTCTTTCTCTGTGCAGGAGGAAGAGGTGTCGTGGTGGGGCCCATTGTCAGTCAGACTCTGTCTGATGTGTTTTGCGACAATGAGTACGGTCCAAACTTCTTGTTCAGGAACAATGGCGATGGAACTTTCACGGATGTGGCACAGCAGGCTGGTGAGATGATCACGTGCAGTTTACCAGATCATAGCCTGGATCATAAACGCGAGAGGCGTTATTGTATAGAATAAATATCAGTCATGCATGATTCCTAAAATATTTCAACCTAATTAATCTAAAAATCTAAGTTTGTTAAACCATATATTTTAATATTGTGGCTTTTAATGATTAATTAGCTGTCAACTGCAATGAAACCTCACAGAATGAGAAAGCAATAAATTAAGTTTATTAAAAAAATAAATAAATCAAGATGATTTAAATGCACTATAGTAATAATAACTGGTGAGGCCTCCTTTTCTGTAATGACTCATTGTGATAAAGTATGTGTTTGATCGCTGCAGGTGAAGCGCAAAGCCATCAGCTTATCAGAGAAGCTGTTTTTTTTTTTTACCATCATCTCATGATGACAAGAAAGTGATTGCCATGAATTCAGTGATTGATTTTAAACATTAGAAATGTAGCACTTCATCGTTTTTATGTCACCAGTTTGTTGTTTAATAAATCAGACACTGAAGTGCTGTATTGTACCCAATGACACAGTTCCAGCAGCAGCACTGGTCAGGGTTACCTGGTTTTGAAAATATTGATGGCAGATGATGGAAACAGATTGGGAACATCTCAAATCCTTTTAGGTGTAGAAGACCCCATGCAGCACGGCAGAGGGGTGGCTCTTGCAGACTTCAACCGTGACGGTAAGACGGACATCGTCTACGGGAACTGGAACGGACCTCATCGGTTGTACATGCAGCTCAGTAACCGCAAGCAAAAGTTTAAGGTGGGCCCGAATTTGGTCTTTAAAAATCAAAGAAAATCAGCTCAGTTAGCATCAAACCGACACGACTGCCAGATACCTTATAAAGACCTACTTCAGATGATCACATATGATGAACGGAAGCATGGGCATTCTCACATTACCACACATTCCACTCCACATGTGATCTGCTGAGAAAAGTGTGTTTGTGATTTCACTGCAATAATCGATTGAATAATATGATTTTACTTAGTGAAGTACCCAAAAAGCCCATTCAGATTGTCACTGTCAACTGTAGAGAGTTTCAGAGAGAGGTTGTTGTTCTTCTGTCTAATGAACAAGGAGCACAAATAAAACAAATCAGACCTGTTGTCACTGTGAATCAAAGTACTATCAATCCAAATGGTTGGCGAGTGAATTAACACTACTCAGTGGCTGCCCACTTTGCGTTTGAGTGGTATTTAAAGACGCAAGGTTAGTGATTTACTCAATCAATGACTCTACAGACAGCGTGTGCAAGGCAGCCAGCAGCACGCATCTGTTTGGGTACTAAGTTTTAGAGTGGCGAAGTCAGAGACAGGCCCTGCTGCATAAATCTGGAGAGGATTCGGGCTCGGTGATCTATCTGCCACCACCTGCACTCGCATCTTTTACCTAGGGGATAAATGTCACCCAAGACATCTTTATAGGGGTCGAGTAAGGGGTTAATGTGTGATGCTTTGCCCAGAGATAGTTCCATCAGCAGGACACACACACACACACACACACACACACACTGAGACACTCAAACCCTGTTACGCCTATACGTGCAAAAACACAAAAGACAAATTGAATTAGCCTGACAAGGTTTTTTTTTTTTTTGAACCAAGATTGTTAAATCACAACCCCAAAACATATTTAAGACCCCCTTCACCCACACAAGCTGACACTCCTACTAGCCGTGTTGACCTTTGGCATGCATAATGAAGCTGTTGTATCACTTCAGTAAACCACCAATTAAATTGGGCTGAACCAGCAGCTTGCCTGGGCAGTGGAAAGTGCCGATTAGGCCTGTTTGTGCTTTAATTAAAATCTATTGCAGAGAGTTTCCTTGGAATAGGTTTAACATACACTTGTGCTCACACATACACATAATGAATATATATTTAAAAAGAAGAAAGGTTTTAGTAGAAGATCTCTTGGAGTTCTTTTGCATTCAGTAATCTGAAATAAAAATTGGTCAGTGTAAGGAAATTTAGTCATTTTACTATTTATTTCTAATTAACTCCATGCAGATTATATCTTTAGAAGCCCTGTATTAGTTTTGGGGAGAGCCCTTTTTTTCCTTGAAGGCACTTTTATTCATGCGCCTACTGTCTTCGGCACTTATTACGGAGCTGTCCCTGCTTTCCTCACTCTTGGCCTCAGCTGGCCATCCCCTCTCCTTCACCTGAGAAGCAGAAGGTCACTGTGGGCGGCCCCCACCCCTGCAGCTTTATGAGCCTTATAATTAAAACAGGGAGTAAATACTGGGGGGAGTGAAGGGCTGCTCTATAACTCTTTCCCGACTTATCACTGTGTCACTGAAGCGGGGAGATATCTGTTACTTTCTCATGCAAAAACTCTTCTGCTGCAGACTTTTTTCGGAGGTGGGGCACGAGGGCTGCTGTCGACTTGCCCCATGCCAGAGGATGTAAAAAGAGCCTGGACACAAGCACTGGACACTGATTGACATGTTTATATTTTGAAGGTTGAACCTTGAGGTTATGAAACGGTCTTTCGAGTGAGTGCATCAGGTCACATAACATTGAACAAAATGGACTAAGGAACCACGAGATGTAATCACAGCAGGTTCATGTAAAAACAAGTTCATGTAAAATTACACATCCTTCCAATGTTTTTACCTCGAAAACCTCTTCTGCTTATACAAGTTGTTCTCATATCTAGACAGTTGTTTTGTTGAAGGAAAGGAAAACCCTTTAACCCTGATTAGTCAGTGGAATTGAGCAACTTTTTAAACAAGATTAAAAAAAGGACAGGAAAATCACTGTGGTTATAAGAGGCAGAAAAGCATACACACGCACCACGTGTATGCTATTGCTATTTATTGCAGTTTAACTTGTCAAGGATAAAAATATAACAAAAATTCAGCATCAAACCTTGTAATCATAGCTTTGCTACTTTTTTTAAGTATGGAGTGACAGCTTGCTGATTAGCCATGTTGCCTCACAGCAAGAAGGTTTTGAGTTTGAATCCACTACTAGGCCAGGGCCTGTCTTCGTTGAGTTTGCATGTACCCTGGCTTCCTTCCAAAGTCAAAAGAAATGCAGTTAGTGGGGTTAGGTTAACTGGTGATTCTAAATTACCCATAAATATGTAAATGTGAGTGCAAATGGTTGTCTCCCTCTCTGTGCTAGCCCTGTGGTTGACTGGCGACCTGTCCACCAGGGTGTACTTTGCCTCAGCACTCTTGCATGGGTTGGGCTCAACTGCAGTAAATAAGTTGATTTATTATTAATTAATAAAATTGGTCCAACTCAAGTACATTAAGTCTGAATAACAGAATTTTGAGAACAGAATTGGGATCAGCTGCTACTTGCTATATAATATATTATATAACTATATATAACTATAAATATGGAAAAAGCTATATAAATCCTGATAATTCTGGTACCCTAGGCAGTTTATCTAGTAAGTTTCATCCAGATTCATCCAAATAGTTAAAATGCAGTATCCAGCATCCAGTTTCATCCAAATAATTGAAATGCATTCTACTTATGCATGCATTGTGCTTCTCTAAATGCATGCATGTGTTTCAGTGATGTTACCTTTTTCCCCAGGACATAGCATCCCAGAAGTTTTCCATGCCCTCCCCGGTTCGAACTGTTATCGCTGCAGATTTCGACAATGACAACGAGTTGGAGGTGTTCTTCAATAACATCGCTTACAGAGGCCCCTCCGCCAACAGGCTCTTTAGGTACTCGCACCAACACTCTCAGATTTTGTTCAAGTATGACAGTAAGTTTTTAACATCACTTTGATGAGAAGCTTAACCGAATACTCTTGTGTCTTGATTTAATATTCTAAAGCCGAGCATGGAAGCTGAGAAGAATTTAAAATTCCCAGCCAAGGATACTTATCTAGTCTGGCATCCCGCCTCCTCCTCCACACATGAATGAATCTTTCATTAAGACAGTTTTAGGTCTCTTTTTGGCTCGTGGTTTGGCTTCCTCTCTTGATAATATTAATGAACTCAGCTCTTAAAATGTAATATATGATACATATCAATTGTTAGGACTTAATAGTAGAATGAACCCATCTTCCTGAATAAAAATCTGATCTGGCATATTTATCTGAACAGGATGCAGAACTCATGATGAACGTTGCCAGGAGCTTTTGGGTTAATTTATTCTGAATATCAATAATCAGTTTAAGCCCCACAGATTTCCTGGAGCTGAATATTCCTGCACACCAGGACATCGAAAGAAAATTTGTCTTTCTGGGCATAGTCTGACAGGGGTCACAGCTCCATGGCCTGTGGCTCTGCCATTGTCTGCTCCGAAGATGAATCAGCTTTTTTCAAACTCTATTCTCTGGCACTGAAATAAAAACAAGCCCAAACTAATTAATTCAACACAACTAATCAATATTTAGCTTAGCTGAAGTGTTTAATAGTCAGGATCAGCAGATTAGTGTACCAAGATAGCTAATTATTTTAAGGAAAGCAGGTTCATGGTGGGTGATAATGTGCATATGTTTAACAAAGGATACAGGTTTGTAAACTCAATACATTTTTACCAATGTGCTTCACAGAGATATGACAAATTACGAATTGATTTGTCAATAATTCATTCATACAAATCAGTAATTATGTAAGTTTGGAAATATCAAATTTTCTTCTTGTCTACTGGTTGTTGTATTTGTGTTTGCTGAGATTTATGTGCATTATTTATGTTAGTTTCCTGTGTTATGTGTAGTATTATGCACTATATGTTCTGATTAGGAGACTGCAGGTCACTGTAAAGTATTCCACTACAGTAATTGTCTATTCGAAATCTACTCATAATAGAATATTGTCAGTAGTCTGAGTGGTGCCTATTATATGTACTATGTACTAATTTATTGACATTATCACTACGCATATCAGCAGTTGGAACAATTCATTGTCTTTTTTATTAAACCAAGTATAAACTTATCATATTTTAATCTAATTGTGTAATTTATACATTAAAGAGTTTCCAGTTTTCAGTTTAAAAACAACAAAACAAAACAGTGAATTGTAGCATAGTGATGAGTTTCAGAAAAGCCTTGTGTTATCTGGATCTTTCCTATACTGCAACCACATTTATAGCAGCTTAGAATTTTTGCAGTGATTTCAGGGTAATGTTTGTGGTGCTACTTGGATAGGGTGAGCAGGAGAGAACATGGAGACCCCCAGATAGAAGAGCTGAATATCGGGGATGCAGCAGAGCCTGAAGGACGAGGAACCGGTGAGCATGGCAGAAAAGATAGCTGTCATACTGCTCTATTTAAAATGATAAGCAGCACTACACCATATCTCCTCTGCTATTACAACATCAAACCTCTAGATGGCATTAGAGCTCCACTTAGAATCTGAGTTTCCTCATGCACTTTATTATAGGAAAAAATAGAATTGGTTCCACATTATTAGTTCAATGACTGTTGGATTATGTCCCTGCATGAGGATAATAAATGTTATGAGGAATGTATCCTCGAGTGTTTAGCCGCATCATTACTGTGATGAATCTCCAGGAGCGGTAGCCACAGACTTTGATGGGGATGGGCGCCTGGAACTGCTGGTGTCTCACGGTGAAAGTGCAGCACAGCCTCTCTCTGTCTACAAAGTCAACCAGGTGAGTGATTGTGAGACATGTGATACTCGATAGGTAGTGTGACATTAAGCCTTACTCCCTCTTTTTTTTCCCTTTTTCTGCCTTTTTCTTAGGGCAATGCAAACTCATGGCTGCGAGTGATTCCCCGGACAAAATTTGGCGCTTTTGCCAGAGGAGCTAAAGTGGTTGTATATACAAAAAAGAGCGGCCCACACACAAGAATAATTGATGGTGGCTCAGGGTACCTCTGTGAGATGGAGCCTGTTGCCCACTTTGGCCTCGGTAAGGAAATATCAGAAAATACACACTTAACTTGTTTTATCTGATCCGCAGATGCAACATCTAATGTTAATTCACTCTAATATAAATTAATAAAAGCATTTCTTCATAGCTTGCTTCTCTTGTTCTCAAATTGGTTTCTGGGGTTTGAATGGGCAGTAAGACAGATAAACATTGCAGAGAGTAGCAGCAAGGAAGAAAACAAAAGCATGTGGAAAGCATTGTCTTAATACCTTCAGCCTGATTAGGCACCCACGGGAGCAAAAGTTCTCTGTGGGAGGGAGCTGATTGGGCAAAACATGAAGAGCGGAGGAGGACAGGTGCTGCAGATGGAAGCCAGCCATGGTTGTGAGGAACTAGCTCTCTGTCTCTTTCTGACCGCTCTTCTCTAGGACAGTCAGCTGGTTACCATACAGGCCTGCTGTACAGCCCACCCACCCACCCACTACTCCTCCTCCCTGGCTCTGCTCACTGAGCCTGTTCAATATCAGGATTGTCCAAGCTCACATCACCTTTGGTGGCCCTCATAATACACTCCAGCAGCAAACTATCCAGACAATTGTGGCTTTAGTAGAGACCTCCCTTCTCCAGGGTGAAAAGTGTCAGTACTCTTAGACATGTGAGATCTGTTCCCCACAACAAAATGAGACGGTGTCACGTGGGTGTAGAACAGGTGAAATATTCTTTGGCTCTCAGGCAGCACACCTGCTGAGTGGACTGTCTGTCTGGCAAGGTAACTCCAGATCTGTTTACATAAGAAATGCCACTTTAATTAAGGGCTACAGAGGGCCTCTGGAGAGGGGCTTTCTCTATGCCCGATGAAAACAGTTAATAGAGCGAAGAGGGGAGAGTGCATGTACAACGTGAGCCAGTAAAAAAGAAAGGAAAGAGATAACCTCCAATATATAAAGGTTTCTCACGTTTCATCATGTGTACATTGCTTAAGAATTGTCTCTTGTATTGGATGTGATACAACCAGTGGTTGGGAGGGAAAACTGTGTGATTGTAAACTGCTGTGGTTGTTACCTGGTTGCTGCAGGCGCCCATAATTTGCATGAAAGTTGGGGATTTGTTTGCAGACATTCGCTAACTACTAGCTGTGCTGTAGTGAAACTTGGAAAAGTGCAATGCAGACTGGAAAATGGAGAATGTTCTCCTCCCAAGTAGAAGTTGTGCCTCAGCTGACCTGTCAAAATGTGCAGCTTTTACTTTGAAGGTGAAAAGTCTCAGTTTCTGGTTTGTGTCACAGTTTGCACAGATTTACTGCACCTTACTGGACAGTGTTTGCAGACAAGTTTGCATCTCCCATACAGACTATGGCCGACTAAGACAGGCTGCTAAGGGAGCAGTCTCTAGGCTTGTGTGACTGGGGCTTTGGCAACAACCTTAGGCAACCACCTGCCAACTGGTTGGAGAATACAAATGTTTCCTTTGTGGACTGATGTCTTGACCATACATTGTCACCAAGATTGTTATCCATCTAAAATGGCAGACAAGTTACCGCCATGTGGTTAGTCATGTGTCTGACAAACCTCAACACTGTAAGGTTCAGTGATCAGTGGTCATATATTTCTGTATGCACTGTGACTACCTCAGATTGTACTTCCCTGAATAGGCAAGGATGTGGCCACCAGTGTGGAGGTGTTCTGGCCAGATGGTCGTTCAGTAGCCCGGGCCCTCGAGCCGTCAGAGATCAACTCAGTGCAGGAGATCCACTATCCAAGAGATGAGGAGGAAGTTACTCCTACTGTGGAAATAGAGGTATACAAGTGCTTCATAGTGGGTTTCAGCATGTTTTTTATTCTCAATAAACTAAATACTCATTTTGTCCGAATAACAAAGCTGCTACAAACACAACACCAAGAAACAATCGACATCAAGTTGTTTATTGTTAATTGTTGGGATAGTGCAACAGTTTTAAGGATCTTTCACAGGAGAGTTCATTAAAAATAATATTTCTTACTAATTGTCTCTTACAGTGTGGTCACGGGTTTGCTTTGAATGAGAATGGCCGCTGCACGGGTAAGCTGAGGCACTTTATCCACCTTCAAACTCTGTGCTTGTCTATTGTTTAAAAATCCTCGCACACGTCAAGTGTCTTTGCCTTCCTCACCTCTCCCTGCCCTCAGATCAAGATGAGTGTACCCAGTTCCCCTCTGTGTGTCCCTCTGACCGCCCTGTCTGCACCAATACCTATGGTAGCTATAAGTGCCGCGCCAAGAGAAGATGCAACCAGGGCTTTGAGCCCAACGACGATGGGTCAGCCTGTGTGGGTGAGTGGTCCTGGCAGAGTCAGGGTATCCGGATTACCAAGATCGTTAGAACAAAAGAAGCACTACCAGAGATCGAGATGCATTAAGTCTTAATTACAGTGGTTTTGAATAAAAGGCTTAGAGGTGCTTACATTCCTCCAACCGTGTCCTCTCTCTGCACCCCACTGTCTTGCATGACTGACCCTCATGTGATTGAGCTGTCTTCCAACTACAAAGACACACATGTCGGCTAACATTTCCCTGCCCTTTGTTTCTCTCTCTTCTCGGCAGCCCAGGTGGCTTACTTTGGGGGAACGCGGTCTTCTGGGGAGCGCAAGTGCTCGGGCCTTACTTTCCGGCTGCTCCCCGTCTCTCTGCTACCACTCATCTCTACCCATCTCTATTCTGGACTGCTGTAGCTGTGACTGCTTTCTCCCCTTCCTAACTCTTTCCACTACTAAAAGTGGGTGTACAGAAACTCTTAGAGCAAACTTTTAACAAAAAAAGAGAAATTCCTCTTCACCTTCTCCTCTATGGATCTATGCTATCTTTACCCATCAGCTATTTACAGTCTCGCCTCCTGGTCATCCGCTGCTTTGTGTCACCTCTTGGCTCCCGGCCCCCTCTGGACTATAAAGAAACATACAGGGAGCATGCTCGCTGGGAGCTACAGGGTTCAGAACTAACTGTGCCACACCCGCAGAGTCCTCACGTCATCACCTGGCACTTATCTTAGTGGGACCTGAAACAAGGCCAAGTCAATAAGAGGAGCTTCGGCATAGAAACCGCTGCGCATACAGCAAACAGATCTACTGGCTCCACAGACCACATTCATTAGAGACACGCTGAGCCCCATCTGTATATCCAAAATGCCGCTATGGTAATCCTTACAATGTCACTCTCATTCTTATTATGCGCTTACTGGGATGCCGAGGAACACCAGGTCTCCAAACTGTATGTTTTGAGTGTGTATTAATGTGTTTGCGTGGCTGTGTGAGCCTCAGTGTACTGGGTCCAAAGAGGCAGTCGCGTTGGGGAACATATGCCAGACCATCTGTCTCCGATGGTTGGTTACATTTTGTTACACATGAATTATACAACAGTACAGAGAAGAAGGCAAACACATGTGTGTGTTTGTGTGTGTGTGTGTGTGTGTGTGTATGCGTGCGTGTGAGCACAGGATGAGGCAGATTTTACATTTTTTGAAAAGTGTACTAAAACATATCACCATAGGCATGTGCAAAGAACATGATGGCTAAAGGAAAACACCTAAAACTGAACTGAACAGTGCGCTTAATTTATGTTGGTGTTTCTCCTTCTGTTACACTGTGATTACAATCATGAACTCAACATGCAGTAAAAGCTGCTGTTCTTACATTTTAGAGTGTTCAAAATAAAGCAGCAGTCTTCAAGATTTCAGTCCTGACTGGTTTGGGGACTCCTACAGGTCTTCTTTTGCAACCGGATATTTGTACGATATCACCGCCACAAGGAATCCATCATGCCAGTGCTCACAGCCAGACCACAGTGAGTTTGGAGCAGTTGGTATCGAGAAACTACTGAGACAAGCTTTGTGTGTTTTAGTTCTGACAGTAGATAGATGATTATTCCAAACAACTGCCGAGTATTTTTCGTGGCAACCACCTTCGAATGCATTTTAAGAGCAAAAATATTCAGTCACTGAATATTTTTATTCCTTTTACATTGGTTTTAGTGGTAGATAAAATCCTAGTTTGGGTTAAATTACACCCTGTCAAAAACAAAAACCGTGCCCTGCAGAGGCTTTGTGACAGAAAGCATTAAAGCAAACCTTCTACCTTTGATGTGGCAGCAGAAAATTCTCAGTTTGCTTTAAAGGTAGCTTTTTTTCACCGCTAATGATGCCACAGGCACCTGGTTGGTAATGATAATAATCTTTGAGACTGCCGCTTTAAGTTTTAAGTACACTAAAGCATTCCTAATAGTTTTCCACATAATATAAAGCTTGACAAGTTGCAGTGGCATTCAGTAGTTTTGTTGCTCTTACAAGACCAAAATCCCCAATGTCTCTTATTACGTTCCAAGTCCCCTACCCTATCTGTGACATTGTGGCTCAAGGTCAAATATACAGTTTAGCTTTAAAAATGAATTTCTTAATATATCATTTCCTAAAACGGTGGTATGCTGGCATTTATACTGACTGTACAATGCAGATTTGGTTTGCAGTGGGACGAGGCATTGACTTGTTAAAAAAAAAGTTCCCGTGTACATAAAATGAAGGCACATTGGTAAATGTGTAGCTCAGTTACAAAGGCATACGATCGAATTCTTTATTTTGGTGTTTTTAAAGGATTTGTTGACAATGACATTAAAAACAAATATATGGAAAAAAGGAAGAAAGTGGCTATTTGATGAGTCGTGATTTGCACACAGTGAGGTTTCACATAGCTCAGCGTGAAACCTTCGCTACAGCGGACTAAAATACATAAAACATATGGAGCTCTTCATTTTTATTAAACGCTACCGATCTTTTTGCCTTATTGCCATGTTTCTTGAAGCGTTTGGGAAACGAATAAATACTTTGGCCAAAAACAAAAAAGACGACCAAAAAGTGAAAGCATTTTCCTCCTCTCCACGATGACAGCGCGTTGACTGACAGGTTTTTGCTTCCATATAATTCTGCAGGGGCACATCACTTGTTGCAACACAACCCTCGACTTATCCAGTGTTCGACCACAATCAGTGTCACAGTAGGGGATAATGTTCCTTATTAAATGTTGGCCAGTGCAATTCTCCAGAGAAGCAAATGTCTTTGTATGATTCATGGATTCATCCCTACTCGCTTGCTGAGGCAAGTGTTATATATATTTTGGAAATTCTTAACCACAAACCTCACACATTCCACTGAAGCTCCAGCGCTACTCTCTGCCCCGTGACATCTGTCCTTGAGCCTCTTAATGGGCTGGACCCAAACTCCAGATGCCACCTGTAAATATCACACATTTCAGAGGTTTTGGGAGCTGAACAGTTCTCTCTTTTTTAATGAAAATAAGGAGGCATCGGAGCATGAAAAACTAATAAGCAAATGATGATGGATGTGTTAAAGCAATTAAAATGAATCACCACAGATCCCTGTTGGATCTATGCTGACATTGTTGTGACACCCTTCATGAAAGCCAAAGAACCTTGAGATTGAGTGCTCAGTGAGACAAAGTCCACTTAAACATTTTTATGTTTTCTCAAAAATTATGTCAGAAGTTCAACTGAGGTTCCTCTTGAGCTGTTATTGGACTGTAAGGAGAGAATGCAAAAGTTTTTCTACTTTCTTGCACGCTGCTGGGTCTGACTTGAACAGAACAAGGACTTGTGTAAGCTCACAGTTTGCATAAATAATAGGATCGGAAAGTGTTCATTATTTTTGCACACTTTCAAAGGACAGCGTGCAAATATATTTTTGTTTTTTTTAACCCTGTTTATCATATTTAAAGTACACAGTGCTGAAAACAATCTAGTGTCAAAGACATCTAGTATATATTTTTTCCTATAGCTGTGTTGAAGTGGGTTGTAAAATTTCAGCTGATTGGAAAGTAGAGAAAAGTTAGGATTCTGGTAAATAGAAATGGCAACTCCCGTCGACATGTACATGCTAAAATATGCCGTGTGCCGTATTTACTGTGTCTACTCGATCTACTCTAACATGCAGGGTGTCTTTGCATTCACAGCTTATTCTATGTATGGAAGGACTGGAAATAAATAAAAGCACACTATTCACTGTGATGAATTAGTTGCTCAACCACTGCAAATGTACCTGGAAGCAAAAACATTTTTGGATGGAGTGGATGAACATGCACACGTGATATCATCAGATACACTTAGAGCATAGTGTTTAGTGGGAAACTATGTAATTAGAAAAAAAATCATTTTGTGAGTCTTAAAATTGCAAAATGTGTCTAGAGATTGTCTGTGAATAACATCCAAGAACCTGAGGGAGGAAGCTGAGTGTGATTGTGTGTGTGTGTGTGTGTGTGTGTGTGGTATCTGGCATGGTCAGTGCCATTGCGTTATTTACATCCCAGAGGCTCCAGCTGTTTTTCTCTCTGCAGGAATGAACTTGAGAGTAGAGATGTCCCTGTGCAAAATAAAACCGGGAACAAAATGCTCGCTTATGTGTGTTTCAGGGGAGTCCAGTGTGTGTGTGTTCATGTGCTCAGTCGGTTTGTGTGCAGGGATTTTGTCCACATGGAAACATATTCCAAAGTGCCTTATTTTTCCGCAGTCTTGCCAATGCCGAAACGCCCTGCAAACAGTACATGCACGATGTTCACACACTAGGAAGCTTTCCCAGAAAATGACAGAAGATCAGATATGGAGTGATATGTTAAGAAAACATTTGTACTGCACCAAAATGAATAGAAAAAGAAAAAAGGAACGGAAGGTTGCAAATGGAAAAAGCTGCATAAATGTGGATGTTTTCACTGTAGCGGTCATTTGTTTTTAGCTGCAGCCAGAGAATATGTATGCTTATGTTCTCTTATCCCTAGTGCAAACAACAGGCTGGCCTTCTCAGAGCTTCATGAGTATAATAATGCTATGTGCAAACTCTCCTCAGGCCAGCACAAGCTTCATTCCATTAAGGGTGCACTCCGGTTCATTGCAGCCTGAGATCAAAATTAAAACTTTATCAACCCTGCTTGTAATTGCCCGAGCACATCTCAGGTCATTTCATTTAAACTTATCCGACTAATTTAACCAAGCCTGCACACTAAAATAAGTAAGTGACATTACAGATTAAGGCACTCGAACAACCACTTGAGCATGAACGGCATCAGCAGCTGACTGTTAAGAGGTTGTAGGTTATTATTAAAGCCCGTTTGTGAACAAAATAGGTAATTTGCAAAGAAAGGGTTAGAAAAGGTTTTCTTACATAGTACAATAGTCATAAGTAATGGCTAAAAATCTGTTTTTCTAATCTTGTCTCTGCATTTTAATGATAATACACTCACAGGAGTTACTGCTGAAACCTTGGGGCCACATCACTATAGCAACATTAGATCAAAGCAAAACACACTGGGTATTCGATTTTGCTTCAACCTCTCTTCGGATAAATTGTGATAACCTAAAATCTCAGTGGGGCTGGAATAAAAAATGTTTTCCCTCTTTCAGCGATCATTTGCAAGTAGTTGCAACAATCAATGAGCGTCCATCACCCTCCACCATTTAGGTCACAAGGCGGATCCACAGGTCATCTGTTGGGAGGCAACTTGTCTCCAAACAAACGCGGTCCAACTCCAACTAACTGCGGTCACTCTCAGACAGATTGGCAAAGGTTTTCAAATAATTACAATCTAGTTTATAAATGGAGACAAGCTATAAATGGACACATCGCTATCAGTCTGAGTAACTTGTATGTCATGCATGTCTTGCAAACACGTTGAGCGTCGATGTCAATTTTTGGAAGAATTTCCGAACTTCTTTTCAAATTTATGACATTCTAGCTGGATTCTCAG